TCCGCGAGTCCCTGCTTCCCGGTAGGTCCCTGGACCCGGGGGAGGGGGGCGGCGGCTCTGGGCCGCCCGCTCGCGTTTCTCTGGCCGGGAGCGAAGCGGTTGCGTTCAAGCTTCTGGCTGCGTCAGTGCGCTGGGAAAGTTTCCTCCGCTTGCCGAGAACTGGGGCCCTTTTCGAGGAGCTGAGCGGCACGAGTGCCCAAACACGCATCTTGCTCTTTGCGTAATTAGGAGATGGGCCCGTTAAAATCACAGGTGCCAAAGCACCCGGAGCGATCGTGCTGTACAGGCGGCTGACCTGTGATGTCTGCGCAACATTAAAACTAATTAGACCGCGTGTATGAATGGCCTGTGTAAGCGCTGGGCTCTTAAAACTTCATTATTGCCCTGACTGCTTCTTGTGGATAAATTCAGTATAAGTTTTCAGTATAATTAAAATTTAAGGTTCTTCCTGTGGCTACTAAAACTAATTATTTGTTTTTTTGACAGGTGCTTTAGCACAGTACGTTAACTGTTTAGAGTTGGTAAACAAGAGACTGCCTTGTGGCCTTGCTCAAATTGGAGTATGTTTTCACTCTATTCCAGAAAGTGAGCAATACAATGAAAACCTCAGCAGGTACAGTAATGAAGAGTGATTAATCCCTTTTCGTACTTAAACTAGCTCTTTGCACTTGTTCTGCTTTTGGATTATTTTTGAATACTATCTCTTGCTTTTTTCCTGTTATTTTTGAAGGAGTTAATTTGCTGACCTTGCTATTGTTTAAAGAATAGGCGAAAGGACCACGTCTTCCCTTGTATGGTTTAGCTCTGCCAGAACTGCCGGACAATGGCTTGATTACTGGTTACGTCAGAGACTCCAATGGTGGAGAAAGGTATTTGTGCTTTTTTTTTACTGTTTTTAAGATAAAGTTCCCCCCCCCCACACACACACTTTATGTTGTAAAGGGGGGGAACAGATGCCAGGATAGGTTTTATGGAGCTATACTGCCAGTTGTTCTTCGCTGAAATACATGCGTTTCTTGCAAGAAACAGAAAAACTGCTTAAGATTATTACAAACCTGTTAGGTAGTTCATGTGTCTGTCAGCAAGTCATGTTTTGTTTTGTTTTGCTTTGCTTTTGTAAGTGATTTGAGATCAAGGTGCTATAAAACAACAAAGTGTTTTGGATTGTGATTTATAAAAAGCACTTGGCACTTTAAGCCAAAGCATATCATGGACTTTAGCTTGCCTTACAGATTTATCATTTGTGGTTAATACAGCATACAGCAATGGATCACCTCTTATATCTTTAATTTTCAGTTTGCAATAGGCCCGTCTAACTTCAGCAGCAGTGACTTTCAGGATGAAGAAGGAAGAAGAGGATTTAACTTATACTATGGCTTTCCTTGGGGGAAGGAAGCAATAGAAACATTGACAAATCTCGGCGATACTGAGCTGTTACAAATGTATCCAGGGAATAAATCAAAATTACTTGTAAGCTTTAACTTAGTTCCATGATATTAAAAATGTTCCTTGATAGCAGTGATGCGTGAGAGAAATGCTTTTTTTGCTGATCCAGCTGCTTGATGTGTGACCATCTTTTTATTCTGTTGTTGTAAAAGCAACATAATTGGTACTCTGCAGTCAGATCTCTAGCTGATCTTTAGCTGATCTTATCATTGCAGACAGAATAGGCATAGAAGCTAGATAATTTTTGCACAGAGTTAATTCTTTGAAATTAGAAATGAGGTATATTGACAGGGCAGCTGTTGCCAGTTGCATTGTCTTTATTGGTGAGCTGTTGTCGAGACAAACTGTAAGTCTGTGTGTTTCATTGCTAAGTTCACATCAAAAAGAATCTGTAAATGTTGTTTCCTTTTATAGTTTGTCCCTGTTTAGAAGTACTCTGTATGTGGCTTAATGAATCATAAGTGGTGCACATGGTTTTATAAGAGTTATCATTTTTGATAAGACAAAAGGGGGAATGGAGCTGAGGGAAACCTTCCTACTGAATATATTGGACAGGGGAATGTTTTTAGGGAATGGCAACATTTTAAATGTCAGGTTGAATAGATAAAATGAGTAATTTGGTACCTTGTCAGGAAACTGCAACCTTCCTCTCATGCCAGTCTTGTCTTTTTAATTTCTGTTTTGGCAGCTTTCTTGCTTCTATACAGCAGTAGGCAAATGTAGCTCTTGTTAGGCAAGGTAATGATTTCTCAAAGCATTGAGGCAGATTTTTGTGGTCATTTGGAAGTAATCCACACACCTCCAAAAGAAAACGCAGTTGCCAGTGTATTGCAAATAGATTTAAATCTATAATCGGCGAGTAGAGATAGGAAAACATGGCATTTTCCTTGCATGTTTTACTTTCCCCTGTGTTACAGTCTTAACTAGTTATTATTACACTCTAAAGTTTTTGGTAACTTTTTAAATCTATGTCTGACTGTATTTAAAATGTGATAAGGGTGCTTAAGGTAATGCCTCATTACACATTTGAAGTAAACAAAAGTCACTTTGAAGCAGTGTTTGAGGTCTCCTTTTTTGAGGTTTCCCTTTCTTCTCCTTCAGGGCCGAGACGGAAGGAAGAATGTTATTCCTCATGTTTTGTCTGTGAGTGGAAACCTGGACCGAGGAGCATTAGCGTATCTCTTTGATTCTCTACAGCTAGTTGAGAATCCATTAATGAAAAAGAAAAATTCACAGAGGAAGGTAACTTTCTGTAGAAAGCGTAAGGAAGAACAGACGGTGGAAGAAGGGTCTAGGTCTGAGTACAAAACTTGAACAGAAAAAGTCACACCCCAGGTCAGCACAGATACGTCTGTAAAAAACCCAGGATAGACCAAACTAGCCAACAGTGAAGTGCTGTTGTTAGTTTAGAACAGGATGATAGGTGCAACCTTGTTGGTCAGCTGCTGTGGTAAATTTAAACAGAGATCGCCCTCTTCTTTCACATCTCCAGTCTCTGTTCCCTTCCCCAACAGGTGCAGCCAGAACACTTTTTACTAGTAGCAACAGGCTGGGCCTGTGGTACTGTCTCTGCAGTCCTTCCTACCCACATGAGCAATTTTTTCTCTCATTCTGCGCTCACCTTTCCTGTCTTAGCTTCTCTCTGATGCTTAGTGGGCTGCTGTAAGTGATGAAGGAGTTATGAGGAACAACATAGTTGCTGTGTGGCAGAAAGGATGTTAGGGGAGGCTTCTTCCAGAAGAGTTTGCAGGTTGCTAGAGAACAGTAGAAAAAGTGGGTCAGAGATGGTAGTGGGTTATTTTTCCCAAGGACCATTACTAACCCTGCTTCTATGCTTCTACTCTGTTTTTCTGGAGTTCCTGAGTGCTAGCTTTCAAATGCTACTTGTTACTCAAATAAGTATTCTGTCTCCTTTAAGAGACTGGATCCAGTAGACTGGATGTGAAGTGTCTAGTGGGCTGTCTCTTGGATCTCTCTGGCTTATTTTATCGTTAAAGATGATGCAGCTCTGCTGGCAAAGCTTCATTTTCTTTATGGGACTCAGCTGACACAGAATAATTTCTGCCATGGTAACGTAGCTGGCATGTGTGCTGGTTACATCAAGTATGGTTTGCTCTCTTTCAGGTTATAATTTTGTTCTATGAGGAAAAATTATGCATATTTAGAATGTTTTCGATCAAAGCTGCTTATTCAGTTAAAAAAAAAAAAGAAATTTTTTCAAATGGCTTTTTAATGTTCTGTAGTTCTGTTTAAACGTAATTAGTGTGAATATCTAGTAATCTGTCGCTTTTTGTAATGTTAGGTACTTAAGCTTCACCCTTGTTTAGCACCTATTAAAGTGGCCTTGGATGTAGGAAAAGGTCCAACCACAGAGCTGAGACAGGTATGTTGTAAGAACATTTTAATTATGAGTATTGACTTTCCATGTTGTCTTCTGTAATAATTCTCCACTGGGGAAAATCATGCTGCTACTTCGTGGTTCTTGGAGAGTCATGCTGGCATAGGTTCAGTAGTACTTCCACGGTGTAGCTTATGAGTTGTGGCTCAAGGAGTACACTATGGAAAGCGGGAAGCAGATAACCTGCCTGGCTTTAGTACACTCCTTTTATTATTATTAATACAGTTGATACTCATTTTATGCAAAATGAAGGAAAATAAACAAAATCCCTATCAGCTTCTTAATCTTACATAATTATCGTAATGTGGGTTACCTCTTCAGAAGGTTTCTTTGTTTTTTGTTTGTTTGTTGAATCAGTTTAAGAAATATGCACAGGAGAGAGAAAACTTATCTTGGCTGCTAGATCTCCATTTTTATTTTAAAAACATACCAAGTTGCTTTCCACCTTGCGCTTGTTTTAGCCAGCAAATACCAGCTAGGAATGTTGTTATCACACATACTACGGTTTTCAACGGCTTCTTTTGTCTAGGATTTCAAACCCTCAAAGACTGTCTTTTATTTTTGTTTTTAAATAAACACAGGTTTGTCAAGGATTATTCAATGAACTATCGGAAAACAGAATTTCTGTATGGCCAGGATATCTTGAAACCATGCAGATATCTCTGGAACAGCTTTATACAAAGTAAGGAAAAACAGCGTTTTGTAAACTAAACTATGAAAGTGAAAGATGATTTGTGAACTAGTGAAAATAGGCCAGTTCTCAATAAGAAGTCATCGAGTACAGTAGCCAAATGATTGACTGCATGTATTCGGAACCATAAACTTAGACTTGATTATTTTGTTATGAAGAGCAATGCCAGATGGTTCACTTAAGAATTAAATGAACTGTGCATCTTTCTTATTTTTCCATTGTTGTTGCTCTTGAACTGTGAAATGCCTATTAGAGATTTTCCTATGAAAATAAACGTCTTAAGATGAGTCATACACTTGCAGAACTGACTTGTTTTCCGCTTTTGCATCTAGACTGGCTTCTGTGTTTCTTTCTTGAGTACTATTTCAAATGGCACACTGTATCTGGCCTTGATCTTAAGTTTTTCAAGGCTGGAATGATTACCAGTGGTATACTCGATGGAATTATTTGTGCAGATAAGTAATGTTCCAGTAAGTGATCCATACACAAGTTTCAGGCTGATCAGGAGTGAATTTTGAGTATGTCAGTGGATCTTGAGCATATCGATATTTTTTTCCCTCTACAGAAAACATATATGAATAATTGTTCATGTACAATAGTTTTCAAAGTAAGTCTGGTTATTAAATAATAGAGAAAAGATATGTTCTGCTTCTACAAAAATAAACATGTAATAGGTCATTAGATAAAATTCTCTTTATGTTCTGAAGTGACCCAATAATTTAAAGAAACGTGATCAGGAAAGAAAGGAATGGCAACAAGAAAATGTTATCTTCACACTTGACTTAGTGCAGTGTAACAAAAATATTTACAGCTTATAGTCATTTGTACATAACTTATCTGAATTTTTCCTACACCAAAAGCAGTAACAGGTGTGCTGATTTCTTTTCAGGTATGATGAGATGAGCGTTCTCTTCACTGTCTTGATAACTGATGCCACTCTGGAGAACGGAGTGGTCCAGCTGAGAAGCAGAGACACCACCATGAAGGAAATGATGCACATTTCTAGGCTGAAGGACTTTTTAACTAAGTATGTAGCATCAGCGAAAAACATATAAACTTAATTTAGTCAAATAAAAGGAATTTCTTAAATCTCTGTGCCTGAACTGACTTCTAAGGTGTTGCTGATTCAGTGATTTCTCTGAAAATAGTTCCACTAACGCATCTCTTTTCTGTCAAATCTGGACTATCTAGGATTCTCGATTACCCTGAAAAGAGGGAAGTAACAAACTTGTCCATCATTAGCAGGGCTAGCTGTATTCTTCCTCCTATCTGCAGTTTCATTATCTTATTGCAAACATCCAATTCTAACTTAAAAAGTCATCTTTCATCTATGTATTGCTAATACATGTTGCCAAATTATAGTCTCTGCTGGAATAGAAATGGTATTTTATACAACAGACTTTCAAATCTTAAATTTAGAAAAGTAGCCTGTAAGCTACTACACCTTGCACTTGATTTTAAAAAAAAAAAAAAATCAGAACTGTCTTAAGGGCAATGGAGGAATTGGAAGAAATCAGTTGTAAATTGTTTTTGTCAAGCATTTTTGTTGACAGAAAATTTCAGTTGACAGAAAATCTGTGCCATAGAGTGAAAACAAGACTAATGTGCAATCGTGTTTATACTATACCTGAGTATTGTAGTCAAAATCAGGTAATGAGAGTTTGGATATAAATGAAGTTGAGTGGTTTTTGATCTTCTGTAGATTTACTATGTGTATGCAGCTTGTTAAGCCAGGATATTGAACAGGTGCTTTAAGGTGTATGCAGTAATGCATACGGCCACTGATGAGTTATTAATATCACCAAAAGACAAGAACTTGCCCTAAAACCTCTTCTGTTAACATGGTGCTAATGTTCATTCAATAAATGGGTTATTTGCAACTGCTATACACTAAATATGAATTACTGCCTAGTATAATTATACCTCAAGTACAAAACGGTCAGGATTGGACTAGACAGTCGCCAGAAGTCCCCTTCAACCTCAGCTATTCTGTGAGTCTATGATATGTGGCGCAAGGTTAATAAAGTATATCTGGGTGACTTACTGAAGCCTCGGAGTTCTACCTAAACTGACTGTGGAACAACATTAAGTCAACCCAGGCAATGAGTTTCAGAGACATCTTAGAAACAGCCTACAGCAGGATGCAGAATTTATGTTGTAGTTAACTGCCCCAAAGTTAATTTAACCCTCCCATCCCTCTCCATCACAGCTGAAGTAATGCTGAACTGTGAAGTTGCCATCCTTGCTGCTAGGCAACAACAGGTACAGAGGCCAAATATGGATCCTGTAGAGTGTGCTTAGAGGACAGCAAAGTTGGGATTATTTTTTGTAGTAGTTGATTAAACCAGTTTTCATTATCTGTTTGACATGCACAGGAACACAGATCTGAGTGAAAGCTTTCTGTTTGGATAACATTTATCAGCTCATAGTTTTTGCTTTCTGTTTGGTCATTACATGCACATAGTGCCGGACTGCATACTATGTCCAACAAGATCTTACCTGGCAGTGATTCTGTGGATATATATTTTTTAAATTGTGCTACTTGGGCAACAATGGGACTAGTGGGATTAGTATTTGGGTCTCCGAGTTCCAATTTTTACCTGTTCTGCACTTTGTTTCAAGTTGAAGTCCGCAGGAATTGTTTTGGGGGTTTCACTAGTGGAGAAAACTAGCTTATTGTTTGTCTACAAAATAGACCAGGAAAGCAACATCTGCACATCATTGCTCTTTCTGTGCAGGCTCAGTGGTGCTCAGAACATCTAAGGAGTGAAAGATTCTTTAAAATACGTAATTAAGTAAATCACAAGTGAGATCCTACCTTGTACTCCATCTCTTATGATGACCTTTGAATAGACTGTACCACAGGTCCTCTTCTCTGCTAAAAGCCAGAATAACATAACTGTCCTTTAATAAGGGTACACTACAATAGCTTAATATGCCATTCGCAGCTTGGTCACTAATAACACGGCCTACAAAATTAAGCTATTGAATTTTTGAAGCATAGGTTAGTGATAGACTTTTTTCTTCTTAAGTCTTAAAGTTACTTTAATTTCTCTGTAGAAAGTAAGCAGTTTCACTACATAACTGCTACTATCTAAAAAAATACCAGCAAAATCCCCCCAAAATATCTTTGTGCACCCAAGATTATTCACTACTATAATTTCAGGGTGTTTTACCTTCTTCATTTTCCTTTCTAAAAACGGTAAAGTTGGCGTACTCTTCTTCGGGTTTAACGTACTCTGGATTAAAGATGATGAACAAGAGTTAAGTATAAAAAGTTATGGCCAGATCACTTTTATCTTGGTACAAAGCAGTGAGATTCAGTGTAGGATATAAAATCTACATATGCTTCTTGTAGCACCTATGGGCCTTATCAGAGCTATTTTCACTCTCTTTGCAGGCAAAGTGGGTAGAGTGCTAATTGGTATCTTGCTGCAGAGAGTGCTAAGAAAACTGAGCAGAGCTGCTAGAATTCTGCTTGTTTACCACATGAGCAGGAAAGGAGACTTTTTAGGGGAGAATGATTCCCTTTTAGTATTTAGAAACAGGAAACATAATATCTTTGCTTCATTCCCCCCCCTTGAGAATGGTGAAAGTCATGGATTTGAAAAGAACTGCAAGATAATTAGCATTGTAACTTTCACGCAGTGTCTTCGTTATTGCATGCTTTCTACAATTGGAGTAGTACAATGTCTTAATTCAATTGCCTTTTTGACTGTTGTCTAGTTTTACTTCATTGTTTGAAGTGACTTTGAGTCTTGTCCAAGTTAGGAAACACAAAGAACTAATATGTACTGAACAATGCAGAACAAAATGCAGGAGCTGCACAAGTTTTCTTTTGCTCTCACATATGTATTCCATTTTCGACTCTTAGTAAATGGGCACTGTACTTCTGGTTTACTCTCTGGTTTTTAATTTTCTTTCCCCTGCACTGGCTGTTCCTAGCCTCACCATGAGTTTCCAAATTCAATTCTTCATTTTATTTCTTTTCCATTTATAGTAGATTCTTGTGTGGGACTCCAGTACCCTTTACCCAGTATAATCAACACTGCAGTTTTGGCTGTATGGCTGACAGGTGGTGGTAGACTGTACATATGAATCCTGGGGAACTTCAAATGCTGCCTCTGCTGGTCCTAGTCAGAAGGTGTTCTGTTAGCTCACTAACTGGTAGTAGGTGTCCCTTTCCCCTTTCTTTTGCATATCTGAAGGAATTGTTCCATACTAGCTACAAGCAGTATAATGGCATTCTTCAACCAAGCTCTTGCAAGTAAGTGTTGTGGCTACAAGGAGAGTAACGTGAACTTACCGATCTCTGTGTATATGACATAGTTTTCTGTGTCTTCTGCATTCGTTGTTGAAATAAGGCCAGTTGAGGACCTAACAGACTTATTTTTTTCTGCACATGGTAAAAGAAACAAACACATATGCATATATACATACACGTATCCATTTCTCTTGGAAATAAATAGCTCCGTGATATTTTTTTGATATTTGAAGATCTTAAATAATGTTATTTTCATGATTAATACTGCTCCTTAACCAAGGTCCATTTTAATACAATTTCTTTTATTTATTATGGACAGTAAGGACCAATTCTTGCCAACAACATTTATGTATATATTTAATTTGCTTCCCACAGCCCAGGCCTGCCATCTAAAACATAGCTGAGAAGTGAATGCCTTGTAAGTTGCCTACGTTCTATGTACGTTAAGAGCAGAGTGACAACATCCTAAAACGTCAAAAGCTTAATTCTGCTTGTAACATGATGTTTACACATTAGAATGTATTGAGGACATAAGTTAGCACATCTGGAAAATGAAATAGACATTCAATAACTCACTTGCTTTACATGAAGGAATAATGAAAAATGGGATTGCCAGAGCAAATCCTATTGTTAACAACAGCAGGATCAGCCCAAGAGAAATGAGCAATGGTTGAGAACTGCTCCTCTCTTCTGTCAAAAAGAAAAAAGTGCTTATGCAAACAAATGTTGTTTCATATTCTAAGTATTTTCTGTAACTTGAAATCAAGACTTTGCCTTTCTTTCATCTTTCAGATTAACTGTGGTTAATAGAACTAACTACTCAGGAGAGCGCAAACTGCACGCTGCCACAGCAGAAGGGAGTGTGCTGCAGCCAGTGATCTAATATGACTAAGGAGATTGAAGGGCCCTCCCTTTCATAGGAACCAGAGAGAAAAATGAAGATAGGATCTCCCCCAGGTTGAGTAACAGGAGAGCAAGGGTCTCTTCTAACAGTGAATCCTTTATGGGTTATCCTACACAGTCACTCCAACTACCACTACTTTCTAGGCTGCATGGAGTTCTGTCTTGTTACCTTAATTTTAAAAGAATCCAAAATTTTTGTTATTATTATTATTCTAATCATTGTAGCCTGAACATGACATTGTGGGGAGAAAAATTATGGCTAAAAGACTTGCATTGTTACTAGATTTTGAATTTTGTGTGGTCCTTGTTTGTTGAGGGTGATAAAATGTTTGGCATGTGCATACCTGCTAATGTAAAGTTGAAAGAGTTGCTGTATTTTGTGTTATTGGGAAAGCTGTTTTCAGCTCTGCATTTATAGGTTCCAAAGTCACTAGATGAATTGATAAACAGAAAAAACATAGCTGCTTCCTTCTTCTGCATCTTCATGGGGCGAGACATGCTCTTTTTTTCTCTGAAGAATATGTATGTGATAGGAAGAGAACCATTTTCTGAGAAACAAGACAGCGTCACGTTCTGTCCTTTCTTTGCTTGAGGGCTGGGTGAGCTTAACACTGGTTTGGAAACTGGCTCTGTAAAAAGAAACCAAAAAGACATCACTGAGTACAGAACAAACTCCAAAGGAAGACAGCAACACAGGCGCATGAGACGGGCCTAAGGGATGGAGGGCTCAGCGGGCCAGATCGGAGTAGCACTGCTGACCCCTGAAGAAACGATACCAGTTGGCAGTAGTTAAATTCAGCTCTGTAATCAAGGCAGACGCTCACTGTAGTGCAAAACAGCACTTGCAGCAAGCAAAACCCTGGCTCCTGCTGCTGCAGGTGGAATGGATCAGATAGTGGGTGGCTCTGTGTCCCTAAAATAAAACGTGCTGGGAAGGGTATACAGCAAGACCTACCTATAAGTCTGAAGTTGAGACTTTTGCTGTATTTTCCATCATTTGGGGTTCTATGCTCAGCTTTGCATTTGTATTCACCCACATCACTGGCAGAGTTGATAGTCAGGTTAAACAAAACTGGCGTCAAGCCTGTCCTATTCAGTGTGGCTATCACCTGATTTCCTTTAAACAGCGTGTATCTGACAGGTGGAGGTCCAGACTCTGAGTGACAGGAGAGGCTCACATTCTGGTTCATCACTACTTCCAAAGTGCCCTGAACATGCCTGAGCATGGGGTTGGAGATCATTTCTGGAAAGAAGAAACTTCTGAGTGAATTCATTGCACCTATCATCCAAGTTATCTCCTGGGTTATTCCCAAAATATGTTGAGGACCATGCTGTACTTATTTCTGTTGAAACAGATGTCCTAATGTTTTTTCACCTCCAGTAGCAGGCAACGCAACTTTGTATTTTTCCATATCAGCATGTTAGCTTCAACCATTCAATGAAAAATGCATATCTTCATACAAAAGAGAGCCTAGCCACACAAAGCCAACAGGTGTGTTTAGATGAACCAACAAAAAACTTTTGCACCAGAACAGCAATGACAATAGTAGAAGCATAACACAGAAATTCAAATGTTATGAGGTGTTAATTGTAGGAGAAAGTAGCCTTTATATGCTATTTGAGAGGTGACATGCGAGCCTGCGAGTAAAGACAGTATTTTATCTGTAGCCCTGTGTAAATGAGCAGAATTAATCTCGTGTAAACAGATCTAACTTCATCCTCCCCAGCTTTTGAATAGTAGCAGCCCTGACTGTTTATCAAAATAGTTTGGTTTTATGGGATCACACAAATACAACTGTGAGAAAAACCTGCAACATCTTTTCATAGAAAATGGTAATAAGCCAGCTGTGATTAAGATAAATTATGACAATTCTAGAGTTATAAAGCAGATTTTAATAACTTCAAGCAATTTTGAATGTGCACACAATCGTGTATCAGCAAGGAGAAAGTTAACCTTGCATAGAAACTTTCAAACTGTCTCATTGCACAGACAAGGGAAAAAGTTTTAATTTTACTTGACAGCTTCAGATATTCTAGAATCCCTCCCCGTCTTTTGGCGAGCAGTTGATGCCATGACATATCACAAAACTGGAAAAAAGAACCTACCTCTGCCTTCTGCAGTCGATCCCTGAATCTGCTGAGAGACTCGAGCTAAAAGAAGAGAAGAAAACTTTCAGACAAGAAACAATGGTTGTTGTTTAGAATTATTTGCAAGAAGCATGTCCTTAGCTTACTGTAGGAAAACAGTAGAACTGTGAGAAACAACATTTTCCTGCCAAGACAAAGCTGATACTGAACAGGGCAGATGGTGTAGTTACGCTACCGAGCTCTTTGAGGAGTGGCTCAAAAGCCGAGTGGTTGAGGAAGTCCTAAATATGGAAACAGTGCTGATGGTTAGTGATGGTGTTTGAATAAAGACTTCTGTTGCATTCCATTTATATTTAGCCTATGGCAGTCATGTTACAGTAGTGGGTGGAAGAAAAAGCTTTGGGTGAGGGGCAGCTGCTTGGGATACAACTGAATGTTACGTATAGTTGTTTTAAGATGTAGCTAATATAATCAGGAGCTTTTTCATGTCTGAGAGCTGTTGTAGAACTCTGCTACCATGTAGTCTACAGCTTTATAAATAATTTGTCTAGAATTGTTCTTATAAAGAACTGAGATCACTGAGCTAATATCCCACAGTCACGCATTTGATAGAGATAATGCAAGAGATCCTCTGGGAGCGTGTGGTACTGCTCTTTTTGGCAGCAATATCATTTTATAAAAATTGACAAAAAAAAGAACATTAGTGCTTAATCCATAGAAGTTTTAAGATGTTAAGAAATATTCCTAGATGGCTACCTAGGGAAATATTTTGGTCAAACTTCAAATTTTAAGCTGTGAGAAAATGAGATCTTATACTAGAAGGTAGAATCTTATCATGAACCCGCGTTCAACACCATTTTCTTCTTGCAGAGCAGACTTTGTTGATTAATTTGATGATCTAGTCAGTAATACAAAGCTGCATTATTACAGTGATGGCAAGTAGACATTCTTAAATTTGTCGTCCTGGCTCTCTGGGCAAAGTAGATGTAATCTTTAGCACGCATGCATGCGCGCTTGCGTGCAACTAGGCTTCTGGCGTTGAGAAGAATTTGCAGTGCTACTAATATGCTTTGCCCAATACAGCATAGCAGGAAAGAGGACAGAGTCTCAGGATACGTGCAACTGGTTGCCTGAAAGCTCAGGGGCTTTAATATATATCCAGGAGTAACGTTGTCCACGTACATGGACAACGCCTTTTGAAGAACTCTAGGCCCTGTGTATGAGTAGCTAGCCTTAAAAACATGATTGTGATCCTTGTCTCTTTCCTTATCCTCGACTTTCTGCAGCTAACAAGGTCCTACAAGGGCGTCCTCTTTTTTCTGTGTAATCTAAAACACTTCCCAACGCTGGGTCTTTTGCAACATCCGGTATTTTTCTCATAGAACTTTGTGTGCAACTTCCTTCTTCTTTAATTTTTATTTTAAGACAACCTCTACCCTCCCCTCACAGATCGCTACTATGTGGAAACGCTGACAGTCAACCACAAGACTGGAACATTTGCCTGCAGCTAGCAGGCCAACGTTTAAAACTGCAGCTGGCAGGAGAAGAAGTGGGAGCATCCTTGCAGTTGCCTGTGGTGGCAACCTGTTCTCCGGCACAAAACCCCCTGATAGCTGTGCCCACGGCGGTGCGGTGGGAAGAAGGAGATAAAGAGTCCCGAAGATGCTCTTAGCCGGGTGACGGAGGGAGAACGGTGGCCCGAAAAACGCAGGGAGAAGCCCCGTGTGTCCCCCGA